CTTCCCGGTAATGATGTTGGCATGTGGGGGACATGGGACAAGCTGCCAAGTATGATTGCGCTGCAACGCGTCGAATTCCTCCTTCATCGCGGCAAACCACAAAGGGTCGCGAAGCGCGGTACGGGCGGAGGTCGGCAGGGGTGACGGTGATGACGTAGACGTCGAAGCCACACAGGTATATTCCTCCGAGGAGTACCGTGCACTCGGTCGGTAGATACCCATGCGGGACCGGGTGACGGGGCCGGCGAGTGGTTGGACCACGGTGGCCCCAGTGGACCCGTCGGCAGTAGCCGAAGACGGGCCGGGCGAAGAGGCCCTGGCAGAAGCCGGCGCAACCAGGCGTGTGGCCGTGGAGCCGGGCGAAAGGACCGGCGAGCCCGCCAGTGCAGAGGCCATCGCAGAGGCCGGCGAAGAAGCGGACGAGGCCGGCGAGGCCGACGAGGTCGGTGTAGACGCCGACGAGGTCGGTGTAGACGCCGGTGAGGTCGGTGGAGATGCCGCCGAGGCCGGCAAGGCAGCAGACGGCAGCCGTAACACCGAACGGCCAGGAGGAGCACCACGCCGCGGCAGAGAGCCGAGGCGGACAGAGTCGGCCAAGGGGGGCCATGCACCGAAGGAGAAGTCGCCTGTTGTTCCTGTTTAAACGAAAAAGAACACTCGTCGAAATAAACATGCCGGGAGGTGATGACACGGTGAGAGACCGGATCATAGCACCTATAGCCCTTGGTGTTAGCCGGGTAATCGAGAAAGACACACGGGAGGGAACGGGGAGCAAGTTTATGAGGAGATGTGGCAATAGTACTGGGGTAACAGAGACAACCAAAAATGCGAAGACCGTCATATGAGGGTGGAGACCCAAAGAGAAGGTGATGTGGTGTAAAATTCCAACGGGTGCGACAAGGACGTAGGTTAATGAGGAGGGTGGCAGTAGCAAGAGCATCGGGCCAGAAACGGGGAGGCATGTAAGCATGGAATAAGAGGGTACGGACGCAATCGTTAAGAGTGCGAAGGATGCGTTCAGCCCGACCGTTCTGCTGAGAAGTGTAAGGGCATGTGAGTCGGAAAATTGTGCCATGGGTGGAAAGAAGGTTGCGAATGGTGGTGTTGTCAAACTCTTTCCCGTTGTCAGTTTGTAAAGAAAGAATGGGACGACCAAATTGCGTAGACACGTAAGAGTAGAAGGCAGTGAGAGTGGCAGCAACTGCGGACTTCTTACGTAATGGAAAGGTCCATGCAAAGTGAGAATAATCATCTAAGATAACAAGATAATATGAAAAACCAGTATTACTAGCAACGGGAGAGGTCCAGACATCACTATAGATTAACTCAAAAGGTAACGATGCAACTGTGGATGAAGAGCTAAAAGGAAGACGAACATGTTTGCCTAGACGGCATGCGTGACAAGAGTGCGCATCCGTTTTATTACATGTAAAAGAAAAATCTCTAACTATGTGACGAAGTGCGTTGGAGCTAGGATGACCAAGACGGGCGTGCCAAAGATCGACGCCGGCAGAAAGAGCAACTGGTCCAGCAGATGTAGATGATGAAGGCTGGACGGAGTACATATTGCCAGGGCTGTCACAGCGGTGAAGAACCATCCGGGTGAGGGCGTCCTTAATAGAGAAACCAACTTCGTCAAATTCCACAGTGACAGAGTTATCACGAGAAAGTTTGCGAACACAGACTAAGTTCTGAATAAGTTCAGGAGACACAAGAACATTATTGAGAAAGAGTGGCCTAGAGGTGGAAGGAAAACTAGTGGAACCGACATGAGTAATAGGGAGACCGGCACCATTACCGACAATGATACGAGAAGAGGTGTGGATGGGAGACACAGAAGAGAGATTACCCGGATAAGCGGCCATATGTGATGATGCACCGGTGTCCATAAACCAGTCGCCACCTCCGGAATAAGCACCGGCCGGAGGCTGTTGATGAAGTGCAGTGAGGAGAGCCGGGTCATAGGAGACCGGCGCAGGGTAGCCCGAGGAGCCGGTCACCCCAGCTCTAGGGTTCGGCCCACCATAGCCAACCGGAGCGGGGGGGTAGTAGGTCGGCGAAGCACCCAGGCCCGAGTGTTGGCCGGCGAAGAAGGCCTGATGGCCAGAGGGTCAAGGCCCGAGGAGGCTCGGAGCAGGGGGGCGGGGCACGGGCATGGTGTAGGCGTGCACGACTCCCGTCCAGGGGTTGGAGCCGCCCCACCAAGGTGGCGTTGGCTGCTGCTGAGGAGGCCCAGCGCATGGCTGGTGCTGCTGCTGCTGGCCTTTGTCGCGGCCGCGGCGCCGCTGGCGCGGCTGCTGCTGTTGCTGCTGCGGCGTCGGCGGGTGTTGGGGAAGAGCCGGGGGCCACTGTTGATACGGAGCGCCGTAGACGGCGGGCGGCGTAGGTGGAGCCGCAGGCCGAGGCGCCGAGAACGGCGGCGGAAAGCCTGGAGATGCGCCCGCGGGTGCGGGCCCACCGCGCGTGTAGCCGGCGGCGAAGGCAGTGTGAACGGCACGGGAGCGAAGATGCTTCAACCGGCGTTCCTCGAGACGGAGATATGCCACCGCGCGCTCGTAGGTAGGGTTCGCCATGAGGGTGAGGTTGGAGGCGGCGTTGCCGAGGTCCTCATTGAGGCTGGCGGTGAGGGTGGAGAGGAGCGACTCGTCGCCCACTTTGAAGCCGATGTCGTTGAGCTCGTCGGAGAGGGTCTTGAGGCGCATGCAGTAGTCATCGACGGAGGAGTCGTTTTGGTGACACCCGAAAAATTCCTGCTGCAGAAAGACGATCCGTTGGAGCTTGTTGTCGGTGAAGAGGCCGATGATCTTGTTCCACACCGTGCAGGCATCGTCCTTGTTGCGAACGACGGTGTGAAAGATGTCCTTGGACACGGTGAGGAAGAGCCACCTGATGATGGTGGCGTCGATCGCCAGCCAGTCGGCGTCGCGGTTGAGGATGAAGAGGTTGGCGGTGCCGTCAATGTGACCCTGCAGGTTATACTCACGAAAGAGAAGATTGAAGTACGTCTTTCACGCATAGAAGTTCGCCTCTTTGTGAGAGAGGATGACCGGGACGCGGCGTTCGATGGGAACATCGCGGATGTAGGCAGGATCTGGCAGAGTGGCAGCGGAGGAGCCGGCGGAGGAGTCGAAGGGGTTTGGTGGACGCACAGCCGGAGGAGTGGAGGCGGCGGATCGGTTGAAGAGATCGAAACCAGACATGGCAGCGGGTTCGGAGGTGGCTGGGTATGGTTAGGGTTTGGGTGGGCAGCGAGCGGAAGAAGCTAGCGGCGTGCGGGGCGAGCGGAAGCGGTGGGAGGGCAGGCGCTAGCGATGTGGTGGAGAACGCGAGTAGCAGGGGCGATCGAGGGAAGCACGGCGGCGGCGATTGGATCAGCTGCGCGGGCGTGCAAGAGGAAACTAGCGGCGGCGGCTAGGAAGCGGCGGCGACGCAGCTAGGGCAGGGGATCGTAGAGGCTCTATACCATATAGAATATTATGCAACTCACGATGTATTGATCGGGTGCAATATGCACATATATATATATATATATATATATATATATATATATATATATATATATATATATGTATGTATGTATGTATGTATGTATATACACACACACACAAAGGAAAGCCACGTCCTCTACTATACATGAAAGGAGGAGGGCTTGTTGTACAAGAAATATACATGCTATATCTATATCTCAACAACTGCCGTTGGTGCGATGCCCATGTCGGCTAATCTGGGTGGAGCAAAGTGAGTTCTGACGGCGCGGCAGATAAACACACGAGTATTAATGGTACTCGCAGAAAAACTACTATGTAGATTCCTAGTCGGACGGCTGTAGTGCATTCCTGATGCAGTCGCGACGGAGCACTCACTGGCCCAAGATTGAATGAACCATGTGCACACTACTCTACTCAACTCTGAATGCACGGCCATTGCCAGCCGCCACGGTCCTCCTTCCTTTTGTCAGCAAGTATCCACCACGGGGACCGGCCGGCATGTGGACACAGTACTACTGGCCAGCTAATCTCCTTGGTCTGCCTCTCTCTGCCAAACTGGCCTTCAGTTTCAGGCCACCAACATCATTTCATTCAGAGCAAAGCGCTAATAGTTTGGCACCAGTATTCAGATAGGAGTAGATAGATTCACGAGGCTAAATTTTATGTTTTGACCCATTTCGAGAAGTTGTTCGAGATCTGACCCTTCTCCTACCGCCATACCCCTCGGCGGTAGTATATAGCAGCCTACCGCCAAGGCCTCCGACGATAAGAAAATTGACCACGTCAGCACAACACATCCAGGGGATGGCGCCGCCAAGGTGCTCGACGGTAGGTGCATAGACACACTGTGTCTGAAACTTAGAATTCTTTTGCAATATGGCGTGAAATCCTACCGCCAGAGACCTTCGGTGGTAGGCTGTTATACCCCTGGACGATAGGAAAAGGTTCAGATTCTGAAATTTTTACAAACTAGAGTCAGATCTCGAACAACTTCTCAAAAACGTAAATACACGAAATTTCGCCGCGGCAGATAAACACTGAAAAACAGATAAAAAAGCTGAACGTCTTTTCGTGCGAACTCGTCCCGCGCTCGACTGCCGTGCGGGTTTAGTCATTCACCCGAACGGATAAAGAAGTTGGTCGCACTCGCACTTGACTTCATTCACCCGAACGAGTCGCGATGAACCAACAAGTAGTAGCAGGAGTATGAATGAATACATCAGCAGAGATATCGATGAATGCAACAGCAGAGTCTGAATGAAAGAAATCTGAATATAACCAACAACAGGTAGTAGTAGTAATAGTAGTACTGCTAACAAAGAACCAAAGAACGATTGATCTCTACCACCGATCCATAATATGTGCATATAGCCAACAAAATGCGACTGGTACTACTACTAGACAGTGAAAATCTCTAGAAAGACCACGGCGGGCGATGCAGAGCAAGAGCATCCCGCAACCAACCGATCGAATCGAATCGAAGATCAGATTCCCCAATGGTGGAGAATCGAATCAGAACCAGACTTTGCAGTCGGTGGGCTTGAATGCGGGGGCGCCGGCGGCGGCGCCTGGGGCGGGGAGGGAGAGCGGGCAGCTGATCCTGGCGCGGGGCCCGGGCACCTTGAACGCCCACACCTTGACGCGGAGCTTGGCGTTGAGCTTCACCTCCACCTCCACCGCGCCTCCCGCCAGCTGCGTCCTGAGGTTGGACTGGGTCACGTCCCCCTCCAGCACCTGCTGGCCGCCGAACGCCGGCTTCACCTCCGTGGATGCCTGGTGGCCCTGGAAGAAGGGGTCGAGCGGCGCGAACCCGAAGCGCTGGCCGTCGTAGAGCGCGAGGGCCTCGACGTTGTCGTAGTAGAGGCCCACCCGCTTGTTGGGGTTGCGCACCGTCATGGCGAGCGTGAGGTTGTACTGGAGCAGCGCGGGGCTGGCCGGGGTGCCGAGCGCGAACTGGGCGAGGGAGGCCGAGTCGACAGTGGCGGCGATCATCTGCGGGCGGAAGACGAAGTAGAGGATGAGGGCGAGGACCCCCGCGGTGACGAGGAGGGAGACGAGGATGCTGCAGAGGCAGCTGAAGAGCCCGCACGCCAGGCACTTGAACGGGCAGCACAGGCACGACGCCGCGCGGCTCCCCGAACCCATCGCAAGAGTCAGGCGGCTTGCTTTGCTGGTGCTGCTGGTGCTGGTGGCTCCAAGGGAGGGGATTCCGGCGGCGACGGCGAGGAGGAGCGGGACTGCAGCGGCGAGGTCGGATTGGATGGTGGATTGTGGCGAGACAGGTAGTATATAAGTAGGGGAGATTGGGGGACGCGGTTGGGTAAGCGCGTGGAGGCGACGACTCTTTCTTCCTTGTTGCCTGATGATTGTGCCAGGATTGAGTTTTTGTGGGATTTGTGATTGGAATCGCTCGCGGTGATTTGTTGAAGGTTTTGGCGTGGAAGAAGACGTTGGGAGGGCGCCGCCGCCGTCTCCTGGCGTTGCTGCGTGCGAGGTCAATCTGGTGGCCGGGGGTATTCTGGTCATTTCTCGTGGGACTCATCTGACAAAGGGCAAAGATCAATGTCCAACGGAAAGAGCGACAACAGATCAATCAGGCCAACTTTAACCGATCCCCTATCCAGCGTTAGAGAAGTAAATTTTGGTTGTACTCCTCTAATCGGCACCTAGTCGATCCCTTAAACCGAATAGAGCGAGATTATTTTTACTCCGCCTCCTATCTGGCGCTTAAATTTATTCGACTGCTACTGCTCGGGGAAAAAACTTAACCCCTCTTGCGCCTCTCCCCCGACACTGCCTTTTCGCCGATGCACCTCCCGTCGACCGTCCACCGGCCACGCCACTATCTCATTGCCTTCCTTGGCCCTCGCCACCATTCTGAAAGCATGTTCGCCGTTGTCGGAATCAAGGAGAAACGTCGCCGTCATCGCCATTACCGATTCGTCAGATTGCTTCGAATCTTCTTCCTCTTTGGCGGCCATCGCATCTTATGTTACTTGTGCACCGCTGCATGTCACTCCCATGCGTTGTCACCCGCCGATTGGGCCAAAACGACGACAACTGGTCGATGCACCAACATTGCACTGCAAGTGTACATCGGTTTGCCTAGGTTAGTTTTTTCATTCGTTTTGTTTTGAACCAAGCCATTTGGATTGAACCAAGCGGTTTGAATTCAAGATGAAGATGTGTAGGGAGATGGTCTTCGAGGACTCATCGTCATCCGAAGAGGAAGAAGACGACGAAGACTTTCAAACCATTTTAGGCATGATTTCCAATGACGATATTCGGCGGCTTAGGAGAGGATTGCAGCTTGGCCGCATACACATCAACCGGGACAGAGCGGAGGGCCATGCCAAGATCATGAGAGGCTACTTTGGTCCAAATCCAACCTATACGGAGAAGCACTTTCGCCGGCGCTTTCAGATGCACACAAGTATTTTTTTTACCATTGCAAAAACCGTTGAGAAGTATGATGACTGGTTCAAGCTTCGGAGAAATACAAGCGGAGAGATAAGTGCAACCCCTCTGATGAAGTGCACTGGGGTTGTTCAAGTCTTGGCATCTGGGCGTTCGGCCGATGCAGTTGATACTATGCCCGCAATGGTGAAGACAAAATCTTGAATGTCATTCGAAGGTTCACTAAAGCAGTGATCGATGTTTTTGGACCGGGGTACTTGAGAACACCCAACAAGGAAAACACCCAGAGGCTGGTGACAAAGAGTGAAGCACGAGGATGGTCATGGATGCTTGGATCACTTGACTGTATGCAGTAGACATGAAATAATTGTCCTACGGGGTGGAAGGGTCAGCACAAAGGCCACTGAATCAATCCAACGGTCATTCTTGAGGCAATTGCAATGAAGGATCTCTGGATATGGCATTCGTTATTTGGTTTGCCTAGCTCTCACAATGACTTGAGTGTGCGGTAGAGTGAAGGAAATATGCCTTAGAGGCAATAATAAAGTTGTTATTTATATTTCCTTATATCATGATAAATGTTTATTATTCATGCTAGAATTATATTAACCGGAAACTTAGTACATGTGTGGATACATAGACAAACAGAGTGTCACTAGTATGCCTCTAATTGACTAGCTCGTTGAATCAATGATGGTTATGTTTCCTAACCATAGACGTGAGTTGTCATTTGATTAACGGGATCACATCATTGGAGAATGATGTGATTTACTTGACTCATCCGTTAGCTTAGCACGATGATCGTTTAGTTTGTTGTTATTTCTTTCTTCATGACTAATACATGTTCATATGACTATGAGATTATGCAACTCCCGGATACCGGAGGAACACTATATGTGCTACCAAATGTCACAACGTAACTGGGTGATTATAAAGGTGCTCTACAGGTGTCTCCGATGGTACTTGTTGAGTTGGCATAGATCGAGATTAGAATTTGTCACTCCGATTGTCGGAGAGGTATCTCTGGGCCCTCTCGGTAATGCACATCACTATAAGCCTTGCAAGCAATGTGACTAATGAGTTAGTTGTGGGATGATGCATTATGGAACAATCAAATAGACTTGCCGGTAACGAGATTGAACTAGGTATTGAGATACCGACGATCGAATCTCGGGCAAGTAACATACCGATGACAAAGGGAACAACGTATACCGTTATGTGGTTTGACCGATAAAGATCTTCGTAGAATATATAGGAACCAATATGAGCATCTAGGTTCCGCTATTGGTTATTGACCGGAGATGAGTCTCGGTCATGTCTACATAGTCCTCGTACCCGTAGGGTCCGCACGCTTAATGTTCGTTGACGATCGGTATTACGAGTTTATGTGTTTTGATGTACCTAAGGTAGTTCGGAGTTTCGGATTTGATCACGGACATGACAAGGAGTCTCGAAATGGTCGAGTCGTAAAGATCGATATATTGGAAGCCTATATTTGTGAAGGAAATATGCCCTGGAGGCAATAATAAAGTTATTATTTATTTCCTTATATCCTGATAAATGTTTATTATTCATGCTAGAATTGTATTAACCGGAAACATAATACATGTGTGAATACATAAACATGGGTCATGTCACTAGTATGCCTCTACTTGACTACCTTGTTAATCAAAGATGGTTATGTTTCCTAACCATGAACAAAGAGTTGTTATTTGATTAACGGGATCACATCATTAGTTGAATGAGCTGATTGACATGACCCATTCCATTACCTTAGCACCTGATCGTTTAGTATGTTGCTATTGCTTTCTTCATGACTTATACATGTTCCTATGACTATGAGATTATACAACTCCCGTTTACCGGAGAAACACTTTGTGTGCAACCAAACGTCACAACGTAACTGGGTGATTATAAAGGTGCTCTACAGGTGTCTCCGAAGGTACTTGTTGGGTTGGCGTATTTCGAGATTAGGATTTGTCACTCCGAATGTCGGAGAGGTATCTCTGGGCCCTCTCGGTAATGCACATCACATAAGCCTTGCAAGCATTGCAACTAATAAGTTAGTTGCGAGATGATGTATTACGGAACGAGTAAAGAGACTTGCCGGTAACGAGATTGAACTAGGTATTGAGATACCGACGATCGAATCTCGGGCAAGTAACATACCGATGACAAAGGGAACAACGTATGTTGTTATGCGGTCTGACCGATAAAGATCTTCGTAGAATATGTAGGAGCCAATATGAGCATCCAGGTTCCGCTATTGGTTATTGACCGGAGACGTGTCTCGGTCATGTCTACATTGTTCTCGAACCGTAGGGTCCGCACGCTTAAGGTTTCGATGACAGTTATATTATGAGTTTATGAGTTTTGATGTGCCGAAGGAGTTCGGAGCCCCGGATGGGATCGGGGACATGACGAGGAGTCTCGAAATGGTCAAGACGTAAAGATCGATATATTGGACGACTATATTCGGACATCGTAAAGGTTCCGAGTGATTCGGGTATTTTTCAGAGTACGGAGAGTTACGGGAATTCGCCGGGGAGTATATGGGCCTTATTGGGCCATACGGGAATAGAGGAGAGAGGCCAAAAGGAAGGAGGCATGTGCCCCCCCTCTGGTCCGAATTGGACAAGGAGCGCAGCCCCCTTTTCCTTCTTCCTCCCCCCCTCTTTCCCCTTCTCCTACTCCAACAAGGAAGGAGGGAGTCCTACTCTCGGTGGGAGTAGGACTCCCCTTGGCGCGCCCCCTCCTAGGCCGGCCGCCCCCTCCCCCTCGCTCCTTTATATACGGAGGCAAGGGGGCACCCCATGACACACAAGTTGATCTTCATGATCGTTCCTTAGCCGTGTGCGGTGCCCCCTTCCACCATATTCCACCTCAGTCATATTGTAGCAGTGCTTAGGCGAAACCCTGCGACGGTAGAACATCAAGATCGTCACCATGCCGTCGTGCTGACGGAACTCCTCCCCGAAGCTTTGCTGGATCGGAGCCCGGGGAGCGTCATCGAGCTGAACGTGTGCCAAGAACTCGGAGGTGCCGGAGTAACGGTGCTTGGATCGGTTGAACCGGGAAGACGTACGACTACTTCCTCTACGTTGCGTCAACGCTTCCGCTTCGGTCTACGAGGGTACGTAGACAACACTCTCCCCTCTCGTTGCTATGCATCACCATGATCTTGCGTGTGCATAGGAAATTTTTTGAAATTACTACGTTCCCCAACAGTGGAATCAGAGCCTAGGTTTTATGTGTTGATGTTATATGCACGAGTAGAACACAAGTGAGTTCTGGGCGATATAAGTCATACTGCTTACCAGCATGTCATACTTTGGTTCGGCGGTATTGTTGGATGAAGTGGCCCGGACCGACATTACGCGTACGCTTACGCGAGACTGGTTCTACCGCCGTGCTTTGCACACAGGTGGTTGGCGGGTGTCAGTTTCTCTAACTTTACTTGAACCGAGTGTGGCTATGCCCGGTCCTTGCGAAGGTTAAAACAGCACCAACTTGACAAACTATCGTTGTGGTTTTGATGCGTAGGTAAGAACGATTCTAGCTAAGCCCAGTAGCAGCCACGTAAAACTTGCAACAACAAAGTAGAGGACGTCTAACTTGTTTTTGCAAGGCATGTTGTGATGTGATATGGTCAAGACGTGATGAGTTATAAGTTTTTGTATAAGATGATCATGTTTTGTTGAAGTTATCGGCAACTGGCAGAAGCCTTA